TTCTTCTTCTTCTTCTTCTTCTTCTTCTTCTTCTTCTTCTTCTTCTTCTTCTTCTTCTTCTTCTTCTTCTTCTTCTTCTTCTTCTTCTTACCAAACAAAGACGGGAAGAGAAGCCATAAAATGGTAATACACCTTGACACTTTAGTCCCAATCAAATCCCTAGATCAGGGAGAAAATTCCCGGGCATCCTACAGCTAAAGAACATTGGTTACATGAGAAACATGTGACTTCCTGTGAGTAACATAAACATTCAACCACAGACATACTGAGTGTTTTCAACTTGTAACACCTAACAGAAAGGTGTGGGTATAAATGTTTTAACTGACTGACTGACTGACCTCCAGACTGCAGCGATCAGTTCCCCTGGAGAAGAGGTCCCCTTTGGAGGGTGGACTCTGCGGCATTGTAACTTGCTGAGGTCCCTCCCCTCCCCAAGCCCTGCCCTGCCCAGGTTCCCGCCCCAGATCTCCATGGAGTTGGCAACCTTTGTGTGTGAAGAGAGAGGGAGAGCGTGCCAGCATCTCCCTCCCAAGGCAGCTCTGGCAAATGCAATTACGTGCAGGGGTCCTTTCCTGCAGGAGCGCACAGGAGCGGAGCTCCGGCAGTAAAGAGCCCAGGGGGCGGGCACGTGCAACAAGCCCCACCCCCTGCTCCCAGCAGCCCTCAGTCAGAGCAAGAAGCAGCCAGGTAAGCTGCAGAGCTCCCACCCCACCCAACCCAGTCCAAAACAGTCCAGTGGCACCTTTAAGACCAAGTCTTATTCAGGTACAAGCTCTCCCTCCTCTGTGAGGGCAGATCTGCACGTTCCTCCCCCCCCCCCGCAATAGCTAGCAATCCAAAACAGTCCAGTGGAGCCTGAGTGGTGGGTGTGGCCTTCTGACACACTTCCGGTGATGTCAGGGGGTGTGGTGGCATATGCAAACGAGTTATGCTAATGAGTTATGCTAATGAGCTCCTGCACCTCTTTTTCTACGAAATAACCCCTGGTTATGTGAAAGGGTGGGAGCTTTTCATAGAGAGTACTCAATATCCTACCAAATTACAGTTCCTAGGGTAATTGGGGGGGGGGGGTTCCACTATAGGTGTGCCCTCTGAGGAATGTTTCCCAGGGTGCCCTCTGCCATAGGCAATGACCAGGGGTCCAAAACGTATCGATCTTGGCTGTGCATGCCACTGCAGCTAGCCATGTCCCACAGGACTTCCAAGGAACATAAAAGCAGCTGTTTGAAGAGCCCGCTCCTAAACGGGGAGATGTTATTTGGATTCCAGCTGCTGGAGAGATTTACTTTCAAACAGTTTGCTGCCTGGATGTCTCTGGAGCCCAAGAGCCCACCATGGCTTGCCTTTCAAAGCCAGCTGGGCCCCCTTCAGTCATCACTGGGGGCTGAGTCATACCCCTTTGGCCTTGCAGCCCGCAGAGCAATCGATAGATTACAAATCCAAGGAAACATTCAGGTTAAGACATCCATCACCGTCCCTAATGAGGGGTGTGGGGGGCAATTCATGAGGAGATGCACCGGAAAAAACACTTCCCTTGAACCACAGGCTGGGGGGGGAGGAGTTCACTGCAAGAGGCCTGTAGCTCTGGTTTCAAGGCCCAGCAAGATCTGAGTGGGTGTCTGCATGTATATGCTAAGGCAGAAGACTTTGCAAAATGTCTTAGCCGTACTGTGCATACATGATATGATTACAGCCACGCTGGGAAATGGAACTACAATTCCCATGATGACAAGCAACCCCGTTTGCATCCTGTGAGGGGATGGGGGGAAACCCCAGTGTGGTCCTACCACAAATCCCACCTTTGTATTGGAAAAAGCAGTTTCTGGCTTTCTCCTGATGATCTGAATAGACAGGTGGAGTCAGACAGAGAAAGGCATTTTACTAGTATATAGTCTTGTTTTATAGCATGTAGGTTGTGTTTCATAGATGTAGGTCATCAACCTCTGCGCCATTCCTGTCTTAGAATCATAGAATCATAGAATGTGAGAGTTGGAAGGGATCTTGCAGGTCATCTAGTCCAACCCCATGCACTCTGCAGGAGCATAGACTACAACACACCCGAAAGAGGGTCGTCCAGCCTCTGCTTGAGAACGTCCAGCGAAGGAGCACCCACCACCTCCCGAGGCAGACTGTTCCACTGCTCAACCACTCTGACAGTTAGGAAGTTTCTCCTGATATTTAGCCAGTAATGACTCCCTTGTAATTTCTACCCATTAGATCTGGTCCTGCAATCCGGAGCAAGAGAGAATTGATCCACTCTGATCCTCTACATGACAGCCTTTCAGACTACATGACAGCCCAGACCGAATGCAATCATGTCCCCTCTAAGCCTTCTCTTTCCCAGGCTAAACAGACCCAACTCTTTCAGCCTTTCCTCATAAGACTTGGATTCCAACCCTCTCACCATCCTGGTTGCCCTCTTCTGGACACGCTCGAGCTTGTCAACATCCTTCCTAAAATGTGGTGCCCAAAACTGGACACAGGACTCCAGGTGAGGCCTGACCATGTAACATGATGAAGACGTTTTAAGATATGCGAAGACAAAACTAAATAACAAGCTAAGGTTATAAGCAATGCTCCCTCTAAGCTGTGGAGTCCTGTGAGCAAAAATTCTACTTTGTGAGCTACCGGCATTAAAGTTGTGAGCGAGCCATTGGGCTGCTGCATAGATTAGTTTGCTCTGGAGCCGTCCCTTCCTGAGCTGAGATAAAAACATGTGAGGGAAGCTAAAAAACTGTGAGCTAACTCAGCTTAGATGGAACACTGGTTATAAGGTCAACAGTTGTAAAGCAATAAATATGTCAAAAAAATGGCCGCTGAGTAACACCAGCTCTCTCCAGAAAAACCCCTGGCAGAAGAAGAAGATATTGGATTTATACCCCGCCCTTCACTACCCAAACGTGTCTCAGAGTGGCTTACAAACTCCTTTCCCTTCCCCTCCCCACAACAGACACCCTGTGGGGTGGGTGGGGCTGAGAGAACTCTGATACAAACTGCTCTTTTTCAAGGACAGCT